TTGAGCGAGAGAGAGCGAGAGGGAGCGAGGTTGAGCGAGAGAGAGCGAGGTTGAGCGAGAGAGAGCGAGGTTGAGCGAGAGAGAGCGAGAGAGAGCGAGAGAGAGCGAGAGAGAGCGAGGGTGAACGAGAATTGAGGTAATCTAAAAATACTATCTCAATATTAATTCAAATTTGTTTCCCGAAATCTATTCTCAATCTTATTAAATCTCTCAACGTAGTTTTATTTAGGATTCAATTAAAATCCCTCATTTTGCTTTCATCTCTTTCATTCCTAATTTAAAATTTAATCGAATGAAAATATCAATTTAAAATCTAATTACAAAAAGAAAGTATTCAAATTTGAAATTTAATTCAAATTTGTTTCCCGAAATCTCTTTTTCAATTAGATTTTAAATTGGTACATTTGATTAAAATTTAAATTAGGAATGAAGGATGGGAAACGAAAATTGGGGGATTTGAATTCAATTATAATTAAAACGAGAGATTTAAGGAGATTGATGAGAGATTTCGGGAAACAATTTAAATTAATATTGAGATTCCGTTTTTCTCAAAATTAATTTGATTTGATAAACATTAATTCAAAATTAATTTTTAGATACTATCAAAAAACAATCTCATTAAAAATATTATTTTTAGATTCCTTCACCTCTCCCTCGCTCTCTCTCTCTCCTCCCTCATTCCTCTTCCACTGAGCTTCTTAATGACCTCCTTCGTCGGTTTTGATGCAACCGTCGTCAGCGAAGTCACGAGAACCATGGAGGCTGCTGGTTTAAAAAAAAAGATGGGAGATTTAAGTTTTTTTTAAAGTAAATTGCTTTTTGTGGTCGGTAAAGAAGAAAATGAATAATAGTAATTAGAAAAAATACAGAAAGATGGAACGAGGAAAAAAGAAACTCCAAGAAAATTTTAGAGAGAATGAGAAAAAAAATTTTGCGGAAAGAGAAAAAGAGAATAATGAAAGACGATAAGAAAAAATAAATCTCGAAAAAGAGGGAGATGGAGGTAGAGAGAGGAAATAAAGATGGATGTCTAAAATATTAGTGAAGGGGTAGTGAAGGTCGTTTGATGTGAAATATCAGCAAATGTCTATAAAACTTGTGTTTTGAAAAGCATGATTAAAAAACTTAAAAGAGCCCTATAGAATGCTTATTTTGTCAATTTTCCCAATTAAGTGTACCAGAGGAGGCAGAAAAAATAAAGGGCCAGAATTTTGTGCAGGCCAGTGGCCATGGTTGCTTTGCAAGGCTACGAAGAATTCTGCAGCTCTTCTCAATGCAATGGTCGCGGTTTCATTCTTTATCATCATTCCTTCCTCAACTCTTACTTTTGGAATGCTTTGTTTGAAATTTTTCTCTCGTAGAAACTGTATCTCCAAAAATATGAAAATTACAGACCATATTAAATAAATCACTGATAACTGACTTATAAGTTAAATTACGAGTTTGATTCCTGATATGTTTAGATCGTATGCAATATGTCCTTCGATTTTGAAAATAGTCTAATAGGACCTCATGGACTTTGACTGTTGTGTCAATAGTAACCTCAACTTTAAAAAGTGTCAAGGTCTCTAAACGTTCAATTTAGTGTCTAAATAAGGCCCTAATATATAGATATTTTCTAATTCAGGGACTTATTAACCACAAAATTGAAAAGATATTCGAGACGAACTATTACACACAAGGTTGCGTTATTGAATTTTTAAAAAAATTATTTACAAAATAATTTAAAATTATTCAAAGACCTATTATACACTTCTTAGACACAATATTAAAAAATTCATGGAGTTATATTAACCTTTTCTTTTTAAGTTCATGGTATAGACATAATAACACTCTAAAAATTCAAGTTAGTAGGGAATGATTTAACAAACCTGAAATCTCCAAAGCAAGTCACTATCGCATTTGATATTGTTGCGATTTTGCTGATAAGTGTGACGCGCTGCTTCGACTTGAGCTCGGTCCTCGAGAGTGCCTGCATGGGGATCAAATTCCCATGTCTGCCTTCCAAGGAAGTTGTTGGTGCTGAATAAGTAGCGCTTATTTTCTCCATCACCTATCTTAAGTCTCCACATTTTGAGTATACGTTCCCTTTGCACACAAATCTCTAATGTTGCTTAATATATATCACGAAGAAGAGAGAAAGAGAAGTAGGTACTTAGAAGAAGGATAGTAAGAGAAAAAGAGAGAGAGGGTATTAGTGAATGAATGATCAGAATCAAAAGGCAATTTACGTGTGAATTAATACCTACCACCCACCAACCTCAATTAAACAAGAAATTTATGGTAGTACAAAACTATGAATTAATACTCCATAAATTTGTAAAATGAAATATTTGCTGCCATTTTATAATTCCCTTAATTTAAACCATGCAGAGATGTGGTTTATTGCATTAAATTGCACGTCATATTTCTCCGCTCTTTACACCTATTGCATTTTATTCATAAAAATGGAAAGAAACAAAACTTGCTTTCTTAAACCAGCCTCACCAGCTATTTTTTCTTTCCCTTTTAGTACAATAAATTCGGGGCGGTAGGTTTGAACCTCCGTCCTCAAGAAAAAAGTAGGTGCGAATTATCGTTGAGTTATATTTATATTAACAATTTCAACAATTAATTAATAGTTTAGAGTATACTCCAGAGTAGGAGTTAGTAGGGTTTGGGTTGGGTTGAGTCTCGGATTCAACCTTTAAAAAATTGGGTCAACCCAGTCCAACCTGAATTTTTGCATATATGCGTATGTTTTTAATTATATATATAATAATAATAATAATAATAATTTTATCTTTAATATCAACCGTCCATTTAGTTTTAATCATAGTCTCTTTCATTTAATGTTTTCATATTATTTTATTTCATTTTGTATCTTAATCTAAGCTGTCTATTTAATTTTAATTCTAACTCTCCGTTACTGTCGTGATAATTAAAAAAAACACACACACAATCCGACAACCCAACCCGATCCTACTCGATAATGGGTTTGGTTGGGTTAGATTGATCATCCAATTCAAACTCGACGGTTTCTATATATGGCCATACTCCGAACATTCGAGTTGGTCTCAAAATCTCTCCTAACCCGACTCAACCCAACCTGTGTACACCTTGATCAATGGAATTGCTTTTTTCATCATTCACTGCAACTCTAAACTACCCGAAAAGGACTGCTGCTGCCATCTCACTACTTTTTGTACTACCGACAACGGAGTGTAGTTTGTTTAAAGTGATATATGCTTTTAAATATATGTTTTTGATTTTTCAATTTAATTCTTATGGTTTACAAAATTCCATTTAGTGACTTGTTTTTTAACCTTTTTTTTTTTTAATTGTACCTTTTCCGTGAGCAAGTGTCAAAATTTTGATTGACGATGAGTTTAAATGACATTATACTTAGTAAATTACATAAATTTAGATGAGAAATTAAGTCACTTGAAAAATAAAAAGTTAACTTTTCTCACCTATTGTTAGTGAATAATAATTATTAGTGAGAAATGGTTGAATAATTCTCTCTTAGGTGATATAATTACTCATCTAAATTTTTATCAACTCACTAAATATCATGGCACGTATATTTTTTCATAAACAATTTTAAGTTTCATCAATGAAAATGGTATAATTAAAAAAAATGTAAAAGGGTGAGTGAATTAAATTGAAACTTTCTAAAGAAAAAAGGACTAAATTTGAAAAATAGTAATAACTCTAGGGACCAAAATAAATATGATTATCGCTCACAGGCACATTGGCAAAGATCTTAGCTTGATTTGTGGTAGCATTTATCGTTAAATTTTGGATTCAAATTCGTGCTCATCATTGCTATCAGACCAGACAACTAGCCTTTAGGGGATCGTAATGTAAAGTTTAAACCACTACCTATTTTTAAAAAAAGTTATTTAAGAGTAAAAAAAATAAAATAAAGAACAAAAAATATGAATAGATACTCTTCTTGTGAATAATAAAAAAAAATAAAATGAATAGATACTGTTGACACCAATCACTCATAACAAACTGAAGGACGCGTGGGCCCGTTCTTTAATGGTAGTTGGATAGGTAATCTATCTGTAAATTTCTAGAAGGGAGACTTAAACCAACTATTATTAAACGTTAAGTCTAGTTGATTGGTGCAGTAAATAGGTTTATGTATTTGATTGGCCTTAAATATGTTTTTGTTATGTCTGTGTTTTATATTTTGTTAAATTGATTTTATTAAACTTTGGGTTGAATTATTATAATTTTCCTTTGAAAAAACATAATTTATAAACTAATTATTTAATTAAAGTAATTTTAATCACATTTAAATTATTTTTCAAAAGATAATTTTTTTTATGAAACTAGGAAATACTATTTTGTCCAATGATTAATTTTTAAAATAAATATTGAATTATCTATGAAAATACTTTTCAAGTATTTATCAAAGTCTAAGCAATAGTATACAAATTCATTTGACTGTAGTAAAAATGTTATAAACAAATTGTTTAGTTTTTCAATATTACTATCTTTAAGTAAATTCGATTACTTAATTATTCTAAAAAAAATTGATTACTTGGTTATCATTAACATTACTATTAAATTTCACTTATTTTTATTTGATAATTACATTTTATTACAATTGAAAACTTTTTAAATAATTTTTATTTAAAAACTATTAACTTCTTGAGTTAAAAAGAAGATATAGAATTAAAATGATATAATAAAATTATATCGTCTTTTACAAATATGATAGTGATAACAAAAAGTAAATAAAAATGGTAGAAATAAAATGACAACTATATAAAATAAAAAAAAAAACTAGAAATAGATAAAAATAAAATAAAATAAAAATAATTTTTTTTGGATCATTTGGGGAAAAAACTAGAGAAAAAATCGTCGATATAGAAATGAATTATTTATTATATGTAATTTTAATTAAATTGATTTACTTATTTATAATTATAATTATAATTAATTAATTTCTTCATTTATTTAATAGATTTAATTAAAAAAGTTAATGCATTTTAGAAGAGAATAAAGAAACGAAAGATTCAAATAACCCTCCGAATTAGGGATATTAACGAAGGTTGTAGCAAGGAGACTGTTTATGCAAGGATATGCACAACAGTGTATTTTTTATTGCAGCTCGAACTCGCCTCCGGACCGATCTGAATACTTGGGCGGACCTGCACAAAAAGGTGAGCACTCCGATGATCAAGTCAGTATAAGTCGGATTCCCAGTTTAGTTCGAGGTCAGAAATCTTCGTACCTGATCGTGGAGTGAGGCCCTCTACTTATGGGTGGTAGTCCCGCTAATCTCGCGACGRTTGCATCCGATAATCTCGGGACCGTCGGTTACGCYCGGTAATCTCGGGACCGACGGTTACGCCCGATAATCACGCCGCTGACAGTTGCTCACATCGGCCCCTACCGAGCTCCCCGGTAGGTCGGACCYGGGCCAGGTTCACCTCGGCCCTCATACTTAGCATTTGTCGAYGTTAGYGGCGGCCATCTCGGCTATCCGAGCTGGGATGACTCATGAGCCATCTTGGAGCACCAATAGGGGTCCTCCACGTGTCCAGGGTATTCCCTTCCCCAAACAGAGACAAAATATAAACTATACCAATTTGGAGAGTAGAGATAAAATAGTGTAGCAACCTCGAGAGCATGAGGGATGAAATAGCATTTACTTAAGCAAACTCGGATTTATAAATTTGTGAAGAAAACGTGGGTTTGTCTTAACAAATCCTACTCTTCATTTTGAAAACGGAGAACCAAACATCCCCTTAAATTCTTGTCTAATGGAGTCTTTATACTTAAAAGTCAATTTTGGTTTTGGTATTTTTTAAATGACTCTTTTGTACCAAAAAAAAAAGGAAAAAAAAACTTAATATTTTAGGTCCTTAAATTTTATATTTAATTTTTTCATTTAATTTTTTGTATTTTTCTTTTCATTGATTTTGAGTTGCAGTAAATTTTTTCAAAGGAATAAATCAATAGAAATGTTGATAACTTCTTTCCCTCCTTTTATGTTTTTTTTTAATTAAAAATTAAAACATAATCAATGCATTTGAATACATAATCTTCACTTTCTTTCTTTGAATAAAATACTTTTAATTAAAAAAATATAGTTCTTATTTTAAAATTATTTAATTAATTTAGCTGAATTAGAGACCAATTGAACCAATTAATTAATTAATTAATTAGAATAATTTTATCAATTTCTTACCTAAAATTTAATTTCTTATATGTTTCTTTAAAAAGCAAATACACTAAGTTTAGATTAAATTGTTGCCCCTATAAAAGAATCCTCCTCGGGACAATAATCATCTTTTTACTTTCCTCTGTCATTAAAAAATCATATCATTTATCAAAGCGAGCAACCTCAGCACCTAGTGAGCTTTTGGGTCTGGATAATTTGGGACCAGCCCAACTTGTTAAGTGGATTTAAATTTATTTAAATTTAAATATTAATCTCTCTGGTCTCGTGATAATTTAGGTTTTGGACCAAGTTTGTGAACCAAATTAATTCTTTATGACCCAATTACATATATTAAATGTTAATTTATCTTTAATTTTTATTTAGGGTTAATATATAATTAATTTATAAATAAAATAGATAATGATGTGGCCGTTTATGATTGACTCAAAATTTATGGTTCTACTAGTGTTAAAAAAAAAAAACTAAATAAGAAAAACTAACGAGATTCAAAAGTGGCCGGCAAAAGTGATAAAAGGATATATATGATATTTAATAAAACGTGAAGGGTAATTTTGTCTAAAAATTGTTTATCCGTAGTTTTAAATATATTATAAATGTTTCTAAAATTGTGTAGAATTTTTGAAAGCAACCAAATCAAATTTTTTGTTAGTTCTTTTTTTTCAAAACATAGATAAAAACATCCTTTTACATTTTTGCTCTAAGAAATGCATAATAAATTTCAGGAAAATATATATATAAAACATAAAATTTTGAACATTTAATTTGAAAAATTAATGTCATATAAATCTTCTATTTTTTTTGTTTTACTAATTTTAAATTTTAGAGAACACTCGAGAAAAAAATGTTTACCAAATATGTTTCTATTTCTTTTTTTTTCAATTAAAAGAAAACAGT